TGACAACTGGTAGGGTAGTGAATGCTGGGAGCAAGTGCAGTGCATTTCTGGAATCACACGGATCTACTGTGGTCTCACTAATAGTAGACCCACACTATAAGTGACCTTATGATAAACCAATACGCCTTATGATAGGTTTGCCCTATATCTACCTTATCATCTGTGTGGAGTCCTGTAGCTCAGTGGTTGGAGCACTCGCCTCGCAAGGAAGAGGACTTGGTGGATTTGATTCCCGGACAGGACAAAATGTTGGACAAGTTTCCTTACTCCACACGCCTTTGTAAGTAGGAACCCAGTTGATAGTCAATTGGTAGATCACTTTTCTGGAGGTAATAATCTCTTCAAAAATAATAATAATTTGTTCTCTCAATCCACGACTGTTTGTGGAACACTGCTGTGTGCAATTGGCTGCCGTGTTTTGCCCACAAAATATACAGTCAATTCTCTTTACAGTATACTCTGTGAAACGCTTTGAAATGTCTCGAAGATGTGATAAGGTACTGTATCAAATGCAAGGATTATTATTATTATTATCTTCCAACTCAAGCACCAAATGGTTTCTAAAATGAAACCCAGTGTCCTGGTCTCTGCAGCAGTGCCTATGATCACTCCCACTTTCCCTTGCTCAGCATCCAACCTTGTCATTGCTACAACATTCCAAGATTATATCCAACATGAAGTGCTCTATATAAATGTAAGATGTTGTTGTGCAGCTCTTCCTGATAATTACCCTCTGTGTAAAGATATACTTCCTGTTGTGTCTTGAAGTTGGCTTTCCCAGACCTGAATCTGTCATATTGCACAGGTGAAACAGAAATAATTGTTTTGGCTTTAGTTCCTCCAACCCATGGAGCATGTTTTATACCTCTGTATATTTCCTTAGATTTGGAAGAAAGCCAGATTGACATCATGTACAAGTAATTTGAGCAGTTGGGTTCAAATACTTAAACCAAAATTCTGATGAAAGGCTTTTGCATTGTGATAGAAACTGAGTATAATGTGATTCTAAGAAGTGGAGTCCCATCTGGACCTTCATTACCCACTTAGGTGCTGATCAGGAGATAGAAGAAACTACCACCAAAAGCTTGTCCTTAAAAAATCCCGCAGAGGCTCATTGACTGAATTTGTGGATGTTCTCAGTTCATCTGCACATCCTAATGAATATCCACATCACATGTTTATTGGTGGAGTTTACTGCCTCCACTTTACTGGCTCCAGCCTCCTGCATGTTGCCCATGCCCTCTGTTCCACCATTGGTTGCCTCGCTTTCAGCCACTACGCCCCGAAATTCTGGAACACTCTTCCTTTATCACTCTGCCTTGCTCCTTCCTTCAAATCATGCCTGAAGATCAACCTCTTCGATCGTGCCTACGGTCACCTCCCCCTCCCCACTGCTCACCATTGTGTGCTCTGGGACGCTAGGCTGCATGAGTCGTGTTATATAAATGCAATTTGTTGTTGTTGAGTAGATGAAGGGGAGAGAACAGGAAGGGAAAATTTCCTGTCATACATTTAAAACAATTATACTCTCCAAAATCTAAACTGAGAAACAGAGTTGAAGAATATCGCATTGAATTCCTTCTCTTTACACACACTCGCTTAATGAATGTTTTACTCGGATTTTCCCCATTGGTAAATCAAAGCAGCACTGCAAAAATTAAGACTGCTCTCATTCTATTTGTTTAAAACAGTAAAGTAATAACTCGTGACTGAGCAAGTGTAAGCACACTGTCCTTTTAGCTGTGGTCTGGGTTCAATTCAAGGCTATGTTAATGGCATAAAATTCTCCTCTCTATGCTGGATGTAAACATATTACACAAAATGAGCTGGGACAATCTTATCAGTTTCTCCTCATGAGCTTGGGTCCATTGCAAAGTCAGACAGTCCTTATTTGTGACGAAGGGCCCTATCCACACTACTAATCTTTCTTTCTCTTCCAGATGTTGATCCATCCACTGGCATTTCCAGCCTTTTCTATTATTTCAGATTAATAATAATCACCTTTATATTTGGCATACATTTCATGTCAGGAAAATGTTCAAAACATTTCACAGGTTCAGGGGATATACTGTAAAGTGTAGTGACTGTGTGTGCTTTGTGGACAAACACCATTGCAAGTGATTTCCAGCATTCTGACATATTCTCTATATCTCTCCATCGTCTTCCTTAAATATTTCATCAGCTGCTCCAGACATAGAGAGGAAAACCTCCAAGTGGGAGTTCACTCTATAGCCTGAGAGCAGGGGAGGAGACCCCCAAGGAATGAAGAGTCATGGTCATTTGGCCTCGGTCACCCCACCCTTGGGAAGTTTGAAGGGATGATTTGTTGTAGTATGGGAGGTGTTATTTTTAATCTAGGCTCATCAGTCCAGTCAAAAGATTTGCCTGCAGATGAACAGACCCCTCAAAGATTAAAAAAAGGTTGAAAGAATTCCAGTTTTGAAGGCAGTAATAAGGTGTCAGCTAGGCTCAGATTTTAGCACTCTCACCTCTGGCTCGGAAGATTGTGGGTTCACACCCCCACATTGGGATTCTGAACTTCTTGTGTAGGCTGACACTCCATTATAGTGCTAGGGGTGTCCTGGATGTCTGAGGTCCTTTCTGCCTGTTCAGGTGGACGTTAAAGATCCCATAGCGCTTATAATCACCAGATAGCAATGGCTATTCACTTCCTGGCTGTTTGTGTGATATTTCTTGACATTTGCAGCACACAAATTGTCTACCATTTTTTGTAGTTTCTTCTATGAATATAGGCACTACACTTTACACCCTCCGAAAAGCCATTCCACATGAAGAGCGCTATAAAAATGCAAGTTGTCGTCGTTTGCCGTTTAAAATCCTGTGAAGTGTTTTGAGACATCGATGATGTGTTAAAAGCGCTATATCAAATGCAATGATTATTATTCAGATTATAATCAGAGGAACTATATTTACAAAGTCTGATTCCACACTCTATTTCAAAATTTCAACTATTTGCATCATTTAATGAGACTTCCTGAATGAATAGTTGTAACAATGCTGGATCATTTATAACTAAAGCACTCCCGTGCTTCCTAGTACTAAATGAGGCATATTTTTGGAAACATACACTGACCATCAATTCAGTACAATACTTTGGCAGATGCATTTTCTGCTGACTAGCAAGACGGGCTTATTGTTAAGCACAGAAATAGAAACAAAAACAGAACCACATGCACGGGTGAGAAGGAAAGCTGTTATGCCCCAAAAAATATTTTAAGAGAAGACACAGTAAATCTTGGAAATCCACTTCGAATTCTGGATAACTCTTACAAATTTCAGTCGGTTTGTAGGCTTTAAACACCTTTGTAACTCTAGTCATGGCACACATAACCTAACTGCTGAGTTCCAGTTAAACTTGCTGGGCAACAAACAAGAGAAATAAATAGACACTCAGCAGATTTTCATTTTTCAATGGTTATAAAATCATCACAAAAGTAATACATCAATAATACAACCTCATCTGAAGATCTTACCTTCTAATAATATAATAATATAGAGCTTACCTTATAATAATATTTTAATATAGAGCTAACCTTGTTTTATATCTATTCCACAGTTGACCAAAACACAATTGGATCCACGGTCAATGTTTTATACAAGAAAGGTGTTGTATAAATAGGGTATATGTCACCATCCTGCACATACGTTCTGTAGTTATTTAAGGGGAAGAATTCTACAGTGCAAAATCAAGCACTTCATCCTTCACAATTATTATCCTACATATTTCAGCGCTTTGGGACGTCCTTCCGACGTGGAAGGTGCTCTACAAATTTAATTTTGTCGTTGTTGTTGTATTAGGAATAATGTCAACAACACTTTGCCATAACATTATAGGAACAATGCATTTTAAGTATATTGCAGACCATTGGACTTAGCTAATGTCAGCCACAGATGCAGTCATGTGAATGTCTTTGCCAGAAAAGGTATCGAGAAATGAGAAGGAAGTTAATCCAAAGCAGCCAGCCTTTAAATACTGTGGGGTCAGAAGAACATGCAGTATGGCTCACTTGCCACTTGGGTATTTGCAGACTGGCAATTTTAAATCAGCGTCTAGAGAAGAATGACACTGAAACATTAAATGATCCCAGGAATCATCAGAGTCCACCATTTGCACCAAAATGTCCCAAAGGGTGTTGCGGCAAAGGGTTAGTGAGCAATTACAATGATCAAGGGCAGAACAGTAATGTGCATTATTTTCCTATATTAACCAATAACCAAAAAAAATGCAATATAAAAGTTTCCAAATTCAAATTCAGTTAATTTGAAAGCAACTGGTGGACTACCATCAGCAACAAACTACATTTGTATAGTGCATTTCACATCGGGAGACTAAATGTCCCAGGTTCAGGTCAGTGTGACTTTGGATTATTCTAACATGTACTTTGTGCTGTAAAATACTCGTTCAGCACATATATTTCAGTTTATGATTCAGGACATTCAACAAACAGTGAAATCGACATCAGGCACAGAGGAAGAACCAGCATGAAGGATCACAGTGAGAGGACACCTTGCTGTATCATTACCAATTTGAGGACCTCAAGAATAATTACAGATCAGTGATAACAGATAGGTGAAATGTAGGAACTGGACAAATTGTTTTTGAACTCATGAGATCTGCTCCCAAGTTTAAATGTGGAAATACCAACTGGTAGAGGTATCACAGCAGGCATCTACATTTTAAATTATAAATACTTCCAGCTTGGTTTTCCATATTAAAAATGTACACCTATGAAAATGAGTTATTAGTAACGGTACCATTTTGCTACAAATGCTATTGATTTAAATTTAGCCGTAATACAGACGATAGACTCTTTTGTAGATTGAAAGTGAAAGGTGAAGGAAACACCAATTTGAGCAGGACTTAAAGTTGGCTTGAATTTCAGGCGCAGGTGTAAGATTATTAAAACACTGGAAAACAAAGCAATACGAATAATTTTGAGGGTTCACTTGATTGGAAATAACTAAATGAATAGACTTACTTGATGAAATCCTAGGTAGTCCTGGATGGTGGAAGATGTGTAAAATACTAAGCCTTCAGCAGTAATCACCAACACAAATCCATTCAGAGCCTGGGGAACAAAAAAGAAAACATGGTAACACCAAACCCATTATTGCTCACAAGAATTATTCACTCACAAAATACACAGTCAATCCACTTTACAATATATTCTGTGAAGTGCTTTGAGACGTCTGAACGATACGATAAGGCATTATATCAAATGCAGGGATTATTATTATTATGATTGCTCACAAGAGGAAGAAAATATCTTACAAAATAAACAGTCGCCATACGTGAGTGAAATGGACAACTAATTGAGGGAGCGGAGCAGAATTGTAAACTCAGATTGTTTTAAGAATTTTAAACATCAATGTTTTAAACATCTGGATTCAATTTGCTTATTTTTTTGTGCACAATGTGATCGGTTTTAAAATGTTTTAAAAATGTCCTTCCTTGCTTCAAAACAATTATTTCTTACCATCAAGCAAATACTTACTGTAACAGTAGGAACAGATTTGGAGTGAAAGATATAAACATACACCTAAAAAGAGACTAATGGGGGAGGATATCATATCTTCGTGAAACAGATATGTCCATTTCCATCAGGGAAAACTTGCACTAACCACTATTGAATATGTCTTTGTCTTTTCATAAATTTACACAAGTGCCTTACACATTGACCGTTACTAATTTGAATTAATAAACCTTGATTAATTGTACAAGATTTGTGTCAGTCTTTACTTCACCGCAGGATTAAATTGGACATCTTACAGAAGGAATAAACCAGTATATAGTTAAGACAAAATGATGACAAAAATTACACAAGCCTTTATCACATCCAGGCCTGACTACACCAATACTCTGCTCCCTGGACTCCCCAGTTGTTCCCTACACAAGATGCAGATTATCCAGACCTCTGCAGTCCAAGTCCTCTCCGGCACCAGGCTCTGTGAGCTAATCACTCACATACTTGCTCAGCTCCATTGGCTCCCCATCTCCCAGAGGATCGAGTTCAAGATCCCCATTCTCACCACTAAATTCCATCACAGCCTTGTCACAACCATACCAAGCTAGCCTTCACTCATTAAGCACCAAGCTGCTTCATGTCCCCCACCCTATCGGCCCCACAATTAGCAGGAGGACTTTCAGACATTAATTAATAAGCAAATTAATAAAAATTAATTAAGCAACATTAAGCAAATGAATAAAAATCGCTTTGCTGAAAATTTGCATCAATCTGTAATCAATTTGTGAAATACTGAAAGTTAAAAACGTTAAACACAAAAAGACTTGATCTTAAAACGAAAGAAACTTAAACTACGAACTGAGAAACATCATCTTTGATGTATGGAACATTTTCTAGTTTTTCTTTCCCAATTTACCTAAAATAATGATTGATATTGGCTTATGATAGAAGTAAATTAATCAACTGTACCTTGCTTCCCAAAATAGTATTCTAGTTAGGGGGCAGGGGATTTAGACATTGGGGGAAGACAAGATTGACTGATAGCTCCATGAGTTAGTTGACTACAATTGACTATTACATGCCAAAACTCACTCTTCAACTCACACACAAGAAAATGGACACTAGGATAAGGTATTGAGGATACTGCCTAACGAATGGTATTCCATTTTAGTGATTTTTTTAATATGGGAGATGTTGGGATATGGAATGCCCTGCCAAGGCAGTAAAAGCAGAGTTCTTTGTGGGTTTCAAGAGGGAAAAAGAGAAATATATAATGGTTAAAGGCTTGAAGGGATATGAGAATTGGGTGAGTTAGTAGGATTGAATAGACAGCTTGCAGATTTAATGGGCCAAATTGCCTCTTTCTGTGCTGTGAATTTCTATGATTCTATGGTTTCAGGAGAGGAAGAATTTGGGAGAAAATCAGAGGGAAGAAAAGATCCAAAATGTAAATCATGCCTTAAGCGGTCTGAGTTTAGAGAAAATCCCCGTCCCCATCCCCCAGAGGATTGATTTCAAGATCCTCATCCTCACCTACAAGGCCATTCACGGCCTTGCTCCCTCCTACCTCTCCAACCTACTATCCCCCTACCTACCTGCCCGTACCCTCCGTTCCTCTGGCTCCGGTCTGCTCCACGTCCCCCGCCCCAACCGCCCTACCATCGGTGGTCGGGCCTTCAGCCTCTCAGCCCCCAGGCTCTGGAACTCCATCCCCCAGTGCCTTCGCCTTGCTTCCTCCCTTTCCTCCTTCAAGGCCGGTCTCAAAACCTTTCTCTTTGACCGTGCCTTCAGCTCCCCTCTCGACTCTCTTCCTCCTCTTCGCTCCCTCCCTTCCCTCCCCTCACCCTGACCATTTCCCCCCTGCTCGGGTCATGACCCAACTGTGCAGCGCCTTGGGACGTCCTCCTGACGTGAAAGGCGCTCTATAAATGGAATCTTGTTGTTGTTGTTGTTGTTGAGTTAGTTGTGCCAAGGGAAATCATTTTAAGAATACAACTACAGTAACCAATTACTTGAATCAGTATGAAATCGGTGAGTGCCAAAATTAGATAGACATGACTATTCTCACAGTAGGCCTATTCAATGTAAACCTGTTAAGGTAGTAAGGTATTTTAGGAAGCACTGCATCATGAGAAGTGCTGTCCTTCGAACGGCATATTAAGCTAAAATCCCGTCTGTCTGTTCAGGATGATGTTTAAGATCCCATAGCACTATTTGAAAAGAGAAGAGAGTTTCTCCCAGTGTCGTGGCCAACAATCCTCTAATTTAAAAAAAAATGGTCATTCACTTCATGACCGTTTGAGGAATGTTTCTGGATGGAATTCATCTGCTACTTTCAGCTACAAATACAATATATTACTACATTTTACAATAAACACTTTGATATGTTGCAATGTGATAAGGCAGAGGTGAGAATGGCTCTTGATACATTTCTAACAGTAAACAAAGTGAGCACAAGAATGTTACACCAATATGTTTTGGATCCATGATTAGAAGGCTAAAATAAGTTCAGTTTGAAAACAAATTCAACTCATATTTTAATATTTGATTCAATACGGTCAAGTAATCCCCAGACAGGACAATACCCCTGGTTCATGTTGCCTTCTTCATCTTGCAGTCACAGATTTTATTTCAGATTCAGGGAAAACTTTAAGAATCTTCCCTAAAAAAATGGCAGACTATCTAGACCTCTGCAGCCCATCCTTTTCTGCGCCAGGCTCCGCAAGCCTATCACTCTCTTGGAAGTCGAGCCAATACTGATAAGCACTTTGGGATGTCCTCCAACCATGAATGACGCCATATAAATGTAAATTTGAAGTATATTGTTTCATGATCGTAAATTTTTCTCAGTGTAAATTTAACAGCTGATAAATTACATTACCAATCTAAACCTTAACTGTCTTAAAAACAAGTTATTATTTTAATTTTTATGGGTGTAGCAGGAAAAAAGGTTTTGGTTGAAAACTTCAAGATAAATGTCTTTGCACAGATATTGGATGATTAAGGACAAGAACCACTTTTAACATTACAGAATGAAACTCTTGGTTTTTGGTGTACACTTCAGATGATGAGAACTGGTAATATGTGACAGGGAGAGGACATTAGTCATCTAAATTTAGATCAATCAATTGCACATTATGCAGTTTTCATCAACAATTGGCCATTCTCTGCTGAAGTCATCACAGTTTACAGAAGCTTTGCCAAGAGTTTTAAGACATTCCTGACTTTATGCTAAATGCAAGGATTATTGTTATTCAAAATGAGGCAAACCAGAAACTTTCACACATACTGTAAACCATACAAAGTTGATCATTCATTAGGATCATTGTAATTGCCAGCAAGTCTTAGTGTCTGCCTTAAGCAGAACCTCCAAAATCTTCTCTCCCTTTTTTTTGGAAAGCATAACATGGAATATTAACTTTACATTCATTTGAAACTTTACAGTACATTCTGTGAAGCGTTTTGGGAGGTCTAAAAGATGCGAAAAGCACTATATCAAATGCAAGGATTTTTATTATTTAATTGCACAGAACTGATCTAATTCATAACTCATCATCAGTACATAATGTTAAACCAATTTTACCTGGGTCACTGAACACAAACAATATGGTGCTCCTTTACTCAGTATATTAAAACACTACACAGTTACCAACACACATTTTTTGTATGGGCTACCTAGGCTTGAAATAATCAAGCGAAAAGAGGATAAACTACAATCGGGAATGAGGTTCAGAATTAGCAAAGAAAGAACAAGACATCTTCTCGATGTGAGCAATGCAATTACCATCCCATAAACTATAGGATAACAGATAGCTGGCACCCAAGTTGCAGGCTGTAATTCAATACAGGCATTCTGATGCTATTGTAAACCCCAAGTCAAACAGTTTATCAATGTCAATAGAGCCCACGGATTGAGTTGTAGCCTTGTAATTAACTATCAGCTATTTGCTGTAGACTAAAATTATTATTTTAATTAAGGTTTTTATTTGCCCTACCATTGTACTTGATGTGACTACTCTCTTGTGGGGGTGGGGGAATGGGAAGCGAGAGAAAGAGAGAGGTACACAGGGTCTATATGGGCTGAGCTGGCTCTTAGGCGATATACCTGCCATTGGGAGATTACCCAATCCACCCAAAAAAAACAATAATAATTTGGTCACTCAATCCACGAATGTTTGTGGGACACTGCTGTGTGCAATTGGCTGCCGTGTTTTGCCCACAAATGTTGCGTTTTGCCTGCATGATGTTGCATTGAGAGCACTGTTTGGCAAACTTCCCACTGCTTGTCCAGTTAGGGCCAACCATACCTATTGGTACACAATGGTAAGTTGTGTGGTTTCCGTTAGTTAAACTGGCAGTCTCAGTGAACATGCTGGGATCCCCAAGGTTTGGCCCCCTCAACTTTTGCCTGTATTCTCTGGGATTAAGTAAACAGGATTTGTGGAGTCCTGTAGCTCAGTGGTTAGAGCACTCACTTCACAAGATAGAGACCTGGGGTCGATTCCCAGCAGGGTGAAATGTTGGGCAAGTTTCCTTACTCCATACACTTCTGTTTACCTAGCAGTAAGTAGGAACCCAGTTGTTAGTCGATTGGCAGATTGCTT